CTGAGGCAGGCTTGAAACACAAGAGTCAGGGTGGCTTCTGGGTAATACCAGATGGCTAGGCCTCAGGCTGACGAAGCCTCTTGGATGAGGGGCGAAACGTTTATTTTTAACAAAAAAAACGAAGTCCAGATGACATGATTCAACCTTTTTTGTTATTTTCTCTAGAATTTTTGAGATGAAAGTTAGATTAGGTACTGTATAAGTTTATAATTGCCCAGGATTCCTGAGTTGAGATTATGTTTCTTAATTAAAGGTTTAATTACAGCAATCTTAAAAACACTGTGGTACGTAACCATTCATTAGAGACAAATTAAGTAGATCCAAAATGTGGATATTAAGATTACCTCTTTAAATAGTCTGGTTGAGATCTAGCAGACATGTGGATGGTTTGCATGAAGCTATTCTCGACAATTCAGAGCTCAACAGGACAGAAACGGTCTAAACGTATATCAGGTTCTAGTGACATTTTTAAAGTTGCCTCATCTGACAGAGAATCAGAGGCGATAGTAGGAAGGATGGTTTGAATTCTTTTCCCTAACTGATATAATTTTATTTATAAAGAATCTCATGAAGTCATCACTGCTTATAGTTGTATAGTTCAACAGTTAGGATTTTTCATCAGACTAGCTATGGTACTGAAAAGAAACCTAGGGTTATTTTTATCCTCATCAAAGGTGAATAATATACAGTTCTAGCTTTATGGAGCACTTTTTTATAAGTTCGCAGGCTATCTCGCCAAGATAAACAAAATTCTTAAAAATTACAATATTAGGTCTCAATAAAATTGGAACGCTATTTCCTTTCTTGCTTTCTAGATGCCTGTTTTAAAGTACGTAACTCGGAATTGAACCTAGGAGCCATTTTCCTCTGATTACTTTCAGAACAAGACTATAACAAGAGATACTGGCGTGCACTCCCTAGTGGCTGATTTACCTTTGACACTACCACAACCATGTAAATTAGACACATTTACAGTATATTTAGTGCTCTGTGAAGAATTTAATTCTTTGGGTTTTGTTTACTCTAAAGGTTAATTTACAAGTGTATTACGTACTGTTGGTACACTCGTTAAGACAGTCAGCACTGAAACGCTCGATAATGAATCAAATGGAGATAGTTTCCCTTCATTTTATGTGGCGTTCCGAGTCCCTTTCTGCGAAGGCACTTGCCATTACTGAACAGTTTAGTAATGTTTTTCATTGTAAAATACTTAAACTAAAATAGCATGCAAAGCTTTAAATGCACTCAAATGTCTTTTTTTGTGCTTTCAGGCCACACAAAGATAGGCTATGCACTTTATTTCTATTCCTACAGCTCATGGTCAGGAAGAGCTGTTTTTATGGAGGACTTGTACGTCATGCCAGAGTTCAGAGGTAGAGGAAATTCACTCATTAACAAAATGAAGTTGTGTATTTTTCGTGGAAACGAAATCTCAAGTTATGTTCAATGTCTTGTCTTTCAGGGAAGGGCATTGGTAAAGCGCTTATGAGCAAGGTGGCCCAAGTAAGTCACATTAAACATTTTTAAACTAGTTCCAGGGGAGAAACATGTTTTAGAACCTCTTCTGTCCCCGTGTGGAAAGTTTAAACATGTCGGAATACTGTCAGCGTACGTCTCTTATTGGTTTCTTTTGTTTTGTTGTCTTGCAGCTGGGCCTGGCTGCTGGCTGCAACCAGCTCAATTTTACGGTTCTGGACTGGAACAAATCATCTCTGGACTTCTACGTCAGCCAGGGCTGCTTCAACATCACAACTGAAATGGGTTATCACTGCATGCGCTGCGAGGGAAAGGCACTGGAACATCTGGCTCAACCATAATCAACTCTGAGCTCGTGACCTTACGACCTTTGGAACCACGAGATCAACTCGGAACAATACAACACTTAGGGGTCCACTAAATAAAACAAATAAAAAAGCTCAGTCTGCTAAAGCCATCCTAAAACATGTATCAGATTTATCACTCATATTTGAACACTTAGATTTTCATGCTTCCTTGGTTATCCTGGATTAAATTATGGGTAACAGTTTTTATACGTTTACTTTAAAATTAATTTATTATTAAGGGTTATTTGCACTAAGTGTAAAAATGCCTTCTGGATATTTTTGTTGCTTTTTTTTCCAAAGTCAAAACTTTGACAATCTTTGGTTCACTTACAACCAAAAACACAGGTAAAAATATATATTTTAACAATAATTGGCAGCGTTTGAATTTATTTAGCAAAAAATACACTTTTAAAAGAGCTTAACGTTCATCTCTAATTCATGTCTAAAAGTCTCCCACTGAATTTACCGTTAGCTAGATGGACAAGGATGCTAACTTTCCTCGCTAACGAGTATTTTTCACTTGTTTCTTTCACTTTTTTCATGATTTAAAAAAATATGTAGTGTAAGAATCACCAGATTAATTGTTAGCCAGCATACATTTCCAACTGACAAAGGTTATTTAATATAATCTCTCTTCATTTTCTCTGTTTTTTGTTAAACGGTAATTTAAAAATCCAGAAGTTTATAGTCAGTTAGCTACTCAAGCTAACAACCATGTGGAAGAAATTTCAGAATCGGCTGCAGAGGGTGTGTATCGTTCAGTCTCCAAAGACTGTTAGGATCTGTGTATTTTCATTATTTTTTAAAAAAAGTTTTTTGTGTTTTAGGTCAAGTTCCTCTTATGGTCATTATGTTTTTGTTTTCTTGTTATCTTGGTTTTTAGTTCTGTTACATGTTTGTTTATCTTGTCAGTTTGCCCCGCCCACTCGCCTGTTCCTCTTTGTCGTCGGTCTCAGGTGTTTGCGATTAGGTTTATCAGTTAAGTTCTAAATGTTACCTGTTTCTTAATCATCAATCGAACAATGTGTGCTGTTTACAGCCAGTTGTTCCCAACTGTGGTCCCTGAGGAACACCATGATCCTGCATGTTTTAGTTCACTGCTCCACACCTGATTCAGTGATTTTTTTTTTTACTTAAGCTCTGCAGGAGCCCGTTAATCACCCGTTCATTGAAATCAGGTGTGTTGGAGCAGAGACACAACTAAACCATGCAGGATGGAGTTCCTCAAGGACCAGGGTTAGGAACCACTGATTTACACCATGTCCTACACTTGTGACCTTCCTGGAAGGTGAGCTTGCACTGGAGCAACATGTCTACATCATTTACCCAGGATGCATTGCAGAGTAAATAAATGGCAACATCCATGTGACATTTGTTTAAACAGTGTGGTATTTTTACGGTCTTGTTTTTATAGCTGAAATAAATTATCAAATGAGGACTCTTGTTCCAACTAGTAAGAAATCCCTTTAAACGCATTAAAGGGCGAGAAAAAAACGAATGCATGAAAATGAAATTCAAAAGTTTATACGATTAATGTTACACAAAACCGTTACACCTCATAAAATGATGTTTATGATCATGTTTCTGTATCTTCAGCGTTGGCTGTGTGAAAGATGGTGTACGCCTGGTGATGGTATTACAACCGAAGCCGCTTGAAAAGTTGAACCAATTGCTTCATGAATGCTTCACTGAGAAGAGTGACCGCTTTGTGTCAGAACTGCATCTGAGTGAAAGTCCTGGCAGACTCATGACTGCCCTCATTAAGATCTGAACCTGTATTTAATAAATATTGTGAATATGATATCTAGATACCTAAAACCTCGTGAAATGGTGACTGTTTACTTTGGTTAATATAAGTGAATGAAATCAGTATTAAGTGGAATAGGAGTTCATACAGGAGGTTGTGAAACGTCATTGCAGTGATATACATGGGTGCGCTAATGTACTGTAGACCCAGGACATGTGGCAAGTCCATTACTGTTTTTTATTGTGTTAAAATAAATTTAAATTGTTTTATTGTATTTTAAAATCATGCTTCATTTTTCAAGTTAAAGGTATATTTTTATGTAGTGGGGGGGGGGGGGGGATTGCGTAGATAAAAGATGCCCACTTTTACTGAACAGAACGTCAAAGCTATAAAAGTTGTATGTAAATATCTGATGTAACAAACCTATAGTCTAAAAATTGTAGGATATAATGTTTCAGCTGTTCCCTCTTCAGGGGTCTCCACAGTGAGTCATCCTCCTCCATCTTCCTCTGTCCTCACTCCAACTACCTCCATGTCCTCTCTAACTGTATCTCCTCTTTGTCTTTTTCCTGGCAGCTGCATTTATAACATCCTTCTACCAGTATACCCACTGTCCCTCCTCTGGACATGTCCAAACCATCTCAGTCTGGCCTCTCTAACTTTATCTCCCAGTTGTTCAACCTGTGCTGTACCTCTGATGATCTCATTCCTAATCTTATCCATCCTTGGCACTCCTAAGGAGAACCTCAACATCTTCATTTCTGCCACTTCCAGTTCTTTCTCCTGTCTTTTTGTCCATGTCTCTGTCTCCAGACCATACAACACAGCTGGTCTCACCACTGTCTTGTAAACTTTTCGTTTGACCTTTGCTGACACCCTTTTTTGTTGCAAATCACTCCTGAATCTGAATCCACTTCATCCTTCCTGGGCTCTCTTCTCTTTACCACACACCTCATTTTCCTGGACAGTGGACCTCAAGTACTTGAAGTCCTGCACCTTTGTGACCTCTGCTCCTCGTAGCCTCACTGTTCCAACGACCTCCTCCTCATTCACAAACATGCATGCTGTCTTACTACGGCTGACTTTCATTCCTCATCTTTCAAGTGCATACCTCCACCTCTCCAAGTTCTCTTCCACCTGTTCCCTGTTCTTAAAAACAAAAAATGGGCATTAAATGAATTATTACTTGTGAATAAAACAAAATCAAGGGTAAATGATAGGAAAAGATACTGACCTCTGACCTTTCTGAACCTTTGATTTAGTAGTTTGAAAGACAATAAAACTGAACTAAAGACTTGAAGGAATGCATTTTTGCTTTAAAAGTGGACTGAAGTTACAAACTAATAGGATAATTTTGATTACCAGGTTTGATTATCATTCCGGGTGGCACAACTGGTAGAGCCGCTGCCTCTCAGCGAGCAGGTCCCTGGTTCAAACCCCGGTCCAGGGGCCTTTCTGGGTGGAGTTTGCATGTTCTCTCCGTGCATGCGTGGGTTTTCTCCGGGTACTCCGGTTTCCTCCCACAGACATGCATGTTAGGCTGATTGGTAACTCTAAATTGTCCCTAGGTGTGAGTGAGAGAGTGAATGGTTGTTTGTCTCGTTTGTCTCTATGTGGCCCTGTGATGGACTTGCGACCCGTCCAGGGTGTACCCCGCCCCTCGCACAGTGATTGCTGGACATGGGCACCAGCGACCCCCGTGACCCAAAATGGAATAAGCGGGTAAAGAAAATGGATGGATGGATGGATTATCATTCCATGACATGCAGGAAACTTCTAAAATGGACTGAAATGGATGCTGTATCGTGACAGGCCTATTTGGCTATGTTCATATAACAAACATGTTCTTAATCTCAAAGGGACTTTACCTGGTAAAATAAAGTTTAAATAAAATAATATAATACAAGGATTTTACTATTCAGATAATTTATTAGTGGAATAAATCTGAATTCCAGGACATTTCAGCATTAAACTTAGTTTTTTCTTTCAGATCCTATTCTAAAATTTGCAATATCCTTTGTAAGAAAAACTTTTACTTTACATTTGTTCTATTAGGTTTTGGCCCACTTAGGTCCCTCGTTAAGCCAGCTGTGCTGATGCCAGAGTTCTCACTTTTCAGCGTTTCTGTCTTGCCTGCTCCCTTTCGAACAAACGTTAATTTGCTGCATCAGAATCCAGTGGTTTTCTCTTATTTGTCCTCATCTCTGCTCCACCTTTCCTCTTCTTAGGCTGCCTCTCTTGCTATAAGCAGCCAACAGTGCCAAGCCTAAACATTAACCCTCGCGAGCGCGAGTCCACAGGGTGAGCCCGGGCAAGAGAGGATTGTTTATTTAAAATAATCAAGCATGACCCGAACCAAACCTTTAGTCCAGTTCCTCGGTGGTCACTGACCGGGCCAGACTGGGAAATGCCACAGTGCTCCCGACGGTCAGTCCGCCCCTGAATTCTACCTTCAGACACATAACCCTATCTGACACTCTTTAAACCTCTACCACATTATTTGCCATTTCCTCCCTTGGAACCAGCTCTACTCCATTTCTCTTTCTATCCACCTCATGGTAAATTAGCCAAAACCCTGACTTGGTCTTTTGGACACATCTACCTTGCTATAAAACGTGTAAACATTACGTAAAGTATGTGATGTTCCTAAATGTACGAGTTGTTCACGAGTTAATTACACATGAAAAATTAGCTGTGTACTTAACCCCCTAACAACATTTACATTACAGTGTTGTGTACGTGTGTAAATCTAATCTGTATAAATCTCTAAGTGGCTTTAAGAATCTGTTGGACTCCTGGCAGGGCCCAATGCAGACATGTTCCTGTTTTTAGTTTTCTACATTCGCCTTAGAATCTAGCTGTTTTTATGTTGCTTTTCTTTTTTAGCCATCCTATTTGTTTAAAAATAATTTTAAAAAAAATCTGTATGACTTTTTGTGGCTGTTTGTTGTTGTCGCTGTTGACCATTGTTGTCATCATTCTTTGTTGAAATCAGGTCTCTCTTGTAAATGAGTCCTCGAGGCTCTAAATAAAGGTTGAATTCAATCACTAGCTATGTTTGTGTGACCCCAGTGGCTTCCCATACTTATCGTATGCATGTTTGCCAATCCCAACACACGCCTCATCTTACAAACACCCACCTACCCCTCCATCCTGTTGTCCTACAAAGTGAGGCAGAGCTGAGTATGCCAGGGTGGAGCAAGGTAACTCGAGTTTTTCAGGTGAGTATAGAAATAATAGTGTGTCCTCCTTTTCTCAACTCTCTCTCTCTCTCTCTCTTTGATCAACTCAGAACAATACAACACTTGGGGGTCCACTAAAAACACGAACAAGAAATGGCGTCCGTTTTTAAACGAACAACGATTACTATACTGAACATTTTACATCTTATATAATATCTGTAAATCTGCTGGAGTCATCCTAAATGTTAAATCAGATTTATCACTCTAAGTATTAACAGTTTCAAATATTTTTGTCTTTTGTTAAGGAAGGAATAAAATCAGG